ATCAGCCCTCAATGCTTCAAGACCATGCACATCACCTTCATCCATCCACTTGAAAAAGCCGCAATCGTTCCACTTAAAGAACGCTTTCCTAGGGTTGCGAGTTGTTGTTGAAATCTTCACCTTCGCTAGTTTTGGAGGGTTACAGAAACATCGTGGGCTCAAGAATTGCAAGGAACATGATGAATTGGAGGGGAACGAGCAGCGAGAACTAGACATGACTTCTTGCTTCAATTGAAACTGTAATTACCTACAATTGAGCCCTAGAAAAAGGGAAAAAAAATCAGGGGATTTATAAAAGGAGGAAGAAGAAGATAGGAGTGGGGCAGTGGCTTTTTTGGAGGAAAATATTCCCCCTAAAACTAATAACAGACTACCTGTACGCACTCCAATTAAAGTTAACAGAATCAACTAACGACAGTTTAACGGCGAGGTCACACATATAGCGACTTTTCGTAATTTAGGGTTACAACGTAGAAAGTCATATATGTTAGGTCACAGTGTAGAAAAGTGAAAAAAACGAGGTTACTATGTAGATTTTCCCAAAAAAAAAAAAAAAAAAAAAAAAAAAAACTGAGTCCCCAAATTAATTGCCTGCAATCTTATCCTCCCTCTCTCTCCTCTCACGTCTCTCCTCATTCTCCTTCTCCTCTCTCTTTGTCTTGCCCTCTTTAATTTCTACTGCACTTATGGAGATAGTAGCTTGATTGCTGCGCTACTTTGGGTGAACCATCTGGAGTTTTTATGGTCGAATTTGACCATTGAAACCTTAAGAAATGAAAAAAAGGCTAAAGGCATGTTGATTTTTGCTTGAATTCATGGGTGTTTTTTTTTTTTTTCGTGGGTTTTGTGGTTGATTTTCGTGTGTTTTGTGGTTGATTCCTATGGGTTTTGTGGTTGATTTTCGTAATTTTTTGGGTGAAATTCGTTGGATTATTTTAGTTAATTTTCGTTGGTTTTTTTGTCTGCTTTTCGTGAGTTTTTTGGTTGATTTTCGTAGGGTTTTGTAGTTGATTTTCATTAGTTTAATTTTGTTGGTATGAACCAGTTTTTTGATTAAATTTTCTTGGACTTTTATGTTATTTTTGGGGGTTTATGGTGGTGGTGGTGGCGGTGGGTAAGGAGGAGTTGGGTGGCGTGGGTAGCAGAAAATTACGAAGTATTTCAATATGAGCCAAATATTCCAAACGCTGCGTTTCAATATTAGCCAATTATTTACGACGCAATTAATGGGGGACTAAGTTTTTTAGTTTCCCAGGGTGCCTTTTTAGGGGAACCACTTTTTAACCAAGGGACTGAGTTTTTACCTCACCTTTGGTTACTCTAGACACCTAAAAAAGTCTCCCCAAAACCAAATCCGATGATGAACAACCTGTAGCGTGTCACGACAAACTGTAGCGTGTCACGACAATTTGCGCCGTGACACGACAATTTTTAGGACTAATTTCTTCGTGGCGCTTCAATTCTAGGGTTCCGTGCTTCACCCCTCATATTTTTTCTATAAATACAAGGCTGTTTTCTTAGTTTCGAGGCACCAAACAATTCTCTCTTTCCCTATTATACACCAAAACATTCTCTCTTATGCTCTAGCCTAAACACTAGCCTTCCCTATTCTTTAACAATACATCCCCTAAGCACTTCCGGAGTTCGTACTTTACCCGAGGTTCTAAACTTAAATCAATGCGTGAAAGGTAGAACTGTTTGAGGGTTTGCCCCAAATCAACTCTACTTTTATTTAATTTAATTTCCATCATTATTTATTTTTATTGAAGTTACTAACAATTTAAACATGATGTAGCAATTTAAAGGAGCGCACGGAACGTGAGTAATTAATTAATTTAATTACTTATTTTATTTTATATTGCTAGTATCATGAGTAGGGTTATTATGATTTGATTTGACTAACGTTATATTATTATGGCTAAAATGTTTCCAATGTTAATGATGATTTTATTATTGTAATGATCACCATATTGCATGTTTAAAGGGAATATGTAATTGAGTATAACGCCTAATAAGATAATTTGAACGACTGGTTTAGGTTTCTTTTTAATCTTGTTGTTTAATCAAGTGATCACGATATTTTAGATTTATGTGTTGCATTAACATTCAACCAATTTAGCCTAATAATAGTTTGGAGCAAATTTAATCTTTGTTTGTATGCCTTTGAGATCGCAGGAATTACTTTTCACAATAAGAATCGAGTAGAGGCCAATACGGGCGAATGTGACTCCATGACTCACTTCGTACCGTCATCCCCGATCCTCCTTTCGTGGTTCCGAACCATATGGATTTAGTAATCTCATGGATTATGAATGGGGTGTAACCTTCACGGATCAATCGTTGTTGCCTATCGTTGTCCCTTTTCGTGATTGCCTTTTAATGATCCGTGAACGATTTACAAGTTCCTTAAAACTTGTTGGCGGCTCCCTACTTTGTCCGTCCCTAATCGTTGTCCCTAATTGCATATGTCAATTCCCAATTCCTATGAGTGCCAAACATATTCACAACATGCTTACGTAGGCGCGCTTCGATTGACGCCTACAGTTACCTTTTGCGGAAAATACCTTTGAAGTCCCAAAAGGTGAAAAACGGAAAAAGATGAACCCTAATTTTATACTTAGCTCGGTAAAATAATGCTAGAAGTTTATTTATTTATTTATTTTCCCTAATTTTTATTTATTTATTTATATATTTTAAAGGAAAAAAGAAAAAACAATTACTCGTATCATTTATCAATGATGCATGGCAAAGGTAATTTTATTATTTAAAAGGAAAAAAAAGATTAAAAAAAGGGAATTGAGAGGATATTTTGGTTAAAAAAAAAAATTAGAAATTGAGTCTATTTTTCTAATATAGATGTTTCTTAGTACTTTGTAATTTTGTATAATAATTTTGTATTACATTTATATAGCATTTAATATACTTCCTTTTTTAGTATTAAGTTGGAAATTTATCGACAATTTACGAGGAAATCGGTGTAATAAATGTTTATTTATTGTCCATTCTTTCCATTGTTAGCTTCTTATATCTTTTTCCTAAATTTAAAAGTCATAATCTTAATACTACGGAGTATCAATAGAATAATACATAATGCATATGAATTGTCTTAACCGAAAAAATACAAATTTATCTTCATGATAAACAAAAGAAACATTTATTTAGTGACATTTAGTCGGTATGACAATTCCTCAATTGGGTACTTCCAGAGTAGCGGAGCAAGAATTTACACAAGATACAAGTACATAAGCGGAAGAAATGATACCCAAAAAAACACACATCCACCCAAATAACACAAATTCTTTGCAATTTAAGATCAGGGAACTTCACTTTGAATTTAACTATCAAATTTCCACTGTTAAACCAAAGGAATACACATTAATCAAGCTATTTATTAATCAAGACCTTGAATTGGACGACGGTTACCCAAAGCCACATAGAAGGCAGCCTCAAAATCAGAAATTTGGGATTCAGATCAATCAAGGCAAAGTAGTCCATTTCATGAACTGATCAAGAAGGCATCAGAATACAAATTTAAACCTGATGTTTCTATATTATTATCTCCAATAGTTGAATAAACCTTAGAAAAACTTTGAAAATCATGATTAAGGCACAGTGTGGGAAAGCTTTTGGGTTAGATATCCAACATATATGATGCAATTTGGAAATTTGAAGCTTGAAATCATGTAAACCAATATAGAAATGATCACATCTATGGGAAAAAAATAACATACAAATCAACCAATAATAGCATGGATTAAACCATTATTTCACAAAATATGTCTATGAACAACTAAATTTCACAATGTATCAGCTGATTTTTCATTATGTATCATAACTGTCTATGAACAACTAAATTAAATTTCATTAACAAAACAAACATAGTTATGGTCACAAGACGAACTTGCAACTGTGTACAAGATCAGCTGAAATGAAATCAATAATTAAAGGGTTTAAGAGTTAGACGAGAGCATTTTTATATTGTCCCCCTTTGTTTGCAAGTGATGGCACCCACTGATATTCTTTTATCAGTAGATACTTAATAAACGATTCATTCATTCAATCAAATAAATGTCTAAGGGAAATAAGGACTTTGACAATATAAACATCAAAATCAAGATATAATATGTAGACACAAATTTGTAAGATTAAATTTCATGATCCATGGCTAACAGATATGAAATGAAAAATGAAACCAAATTGATGGTTCAGAGCAAGGTTTCTAACAAACACTCGCATTGCTCTACTTAATGCAGTAAATGACCTATCACTATTCACTACTTAACCCTGGTTTCATTACTGAAGAGTACTGATCATATTCTTAGTCCACGACACAACAGTCTGCAACACTTCATGCAGCCAAATACTGATGTAGGAAAACAGTAATTACATCAATTACAAAACAATGTGGCCTTGACTTTTGTTACCTTAGTAACATACCAGCTTCGTAGTTGCACTCCAGAAGATCAGCCGACCAAAGTTTTATGTTTACAAGAATATTGAAATTCAATAACATTTCAAACAAGATTATTATTCTTTAATTTTGCTACAATAACATATGGTAGTTGACCCACTTTGTGATCAAATCTACAACAAAAGAGATAGAAGAGACCCAAAATATTTATCAAACCAAGAACACAACTCATATTCATTACCACCTCAGGATAGCAAAATTCAGGTAAACTGTCTTATAATTCGAGAGACAAGTGGCTAAGTTTTATTCATTGATTTGCAGTACCACATCCTAAAAGACTTACAAAGGGATATCAACAGAATGACAAATGTATGTATCAACATAAGCAACTAAATTTCACGATGTATATATGTATCTCTACAGGAGCAACTAATTTTTGCAATGTATGTACCTACATGAGCAACTGAATTTCGCAATGTATGTATCAACACAAGCAGCTAACTTCCGCAATGTATGTATCCAACCCAGTAACTAAGCTTCTCAGCAAAGACTTTCATCTGCCGTTTTCACAATGTATGTATCAATACCGTCATCCATCCTCTTCCCTTCCAGTTACAGCAAGAGGTGACACAAGGCTTTGAACGTAATCCACGACACACACTTTGTCCACAAATTCAGGAACCAAAAAAGTTTCTGGAGGATCACGACTGAAGTCAGCAAGCATTAGCTCATCCCTAGAGTAGGAAACCAAAACCCTTTCAGATTTGGTTAATCCAAAAAAATCACGACAATAATAATCCACCGATCTATGACGAAACAACATGGTCCATGATTCCTGCACTCCATATTCTTTCATCGTCCACATCTCTACTACTTCTCCAACATCATAAATTCCCCAAGCACACAAGCAATCATTCAAACAGCACAAACTAAAAGCAAAGTTTACACCTTCCCCAAAATCGGCATAAGGCAATTCCATCTTTGTAAACTCTCCCTGACTAATCAAATCAAAGACAACAATACATTTATTCTCCCCTATTGCAATACCCCAATGCAAAGTTTCTTTCACCAGAACTCCAATTCTATTAACCCAGTAATCTTGCAATACCAGCCTATTTTCCTGATCTTTTCGCGGTGATTCTTTTATTTTCCATTCTCGGGTTGTAAACGAGTATACAAAGGCAACCAACTCGGGACGAGTTAAGCACTCAGGAAACTTAATGGCAACAATGTAGTAATCCTTATGAGATGAAACATAACCAAACCCAAAACTAAGGTTATCATAAAACAATGGATCAGTAGGAATATTAAATCCTTGAGGATGTTGAATCTCAATAAAAGCATCAGCATCAGTACGAAGAACAGGATTATAAACCACAAAACGAAAATCGGATTTAAAACAAGTATCTGGAACCAACAAAGCTAAACCGTTACAAGAACCAACCAACCAATTGAAAGGTTCATTATTAGGGCCTTTGCTGAAATCAAGATTATTGGAAGCAATTAAACGATCATTAGGGCCAAATCTGCAGAAATCAAGATTGTAATCTCCATAATCAAGAGCCTCAAAGTTGCAAGAATAATCAAGGGTAAGAACAGACCTCGAGGAGAGAGAAGGCAAATGCGTAAGATGAGTTTTGGCGAATTGGGTACTTGAGATGACCGATTTCCATTCACGAGAGACGGATTTGAATCGAACTAGGGTTTTGGCGGGAAGTCTTGGGAGGATTTCACTGAGTATGATGTCCTCCAGAATGTCTGAAAACTGGGTTTTTGTGGCGGTTTTCTGCTTCTTTTGCGGCGGCGATTGCGGCGGTGAAGACATGGAGTTGGGGTTTGCGGCGGCGATTATGGCGGAGAGAGGAAATGGTGGTGGTTTTGGCGGCAACACTGCAGTTAGAGTCTAAGAAATGCTTTGTTTGATTTAACACTACAGTTGATTATTAGATGTAACACGTTTTATAGTTACAGAAGAGAGAGCACGAGGTTCCTATACAAGGTGGATTAAATGATATGTAGAGTTACTAGTACACCTTTTCTTCTTTGTTCTTCCTCCCAAAAATAAATTTTAAAAAGTAGCAAGATGACTTCCTACAATAAAAGGCATAGCTAAAATAATCGCCTATCAAACTTATCGGCCACAATGTATTTATACTTGTTTGGTTCGCATTTTTGCAATTTTATATCCCGGTTCCCTCCAAACCCCCAAAGTTTACCGGAGAGAGGTGGGTTTGGAGAAGACCTCTATGCCTAGAATCAACAACAAAAATCCAATGTATCGGTATCACATAAGAAGATATGACTTCACAGTTCACACTGCTAGTTCGACAACATTAACCCCATGATTCTTGAACAATGTTCTAAGCTCAAGTGCTCAACCACCATAGCCGAAAGAATTAAAGATTGTTCTTACTATTTACTTTAGAAACCTCATCTGCAAACCATGTTTGCTATGATGGAATTTCAATTGTAGAATTTCAACCTTGATTTTTACTCAAAATACGTAACAAAAATAGTTAGCACACCATTTAAAGCAGAATTACTGTTAGTGTTAGCACACCATTTAAAGCAGAATTACTGTTAGCAAAGAGCCTAGAGATGAATCAATTTGAGCAAAATAAGCCAGAGCAATTCTAATTGATTGATGATCATATAACTCCAAACTGTGACAACTTATTACAAATCAGCACAAGACCCATCTAGAAGAGCAGCAAATCAGCAATGCTGTTAGTATATAAAATGAGAATGCTTGAAAATATTGTATTATGGAACATAGGAAATATGATGTCAATTGTATTGCCGGGAATAGAATTTGCTTGTTCGCGTGCCTGGTTATGGAATAACAATGATTATAGAGAAGCTGCGGAAATAAGTGATGACTAATTCTCTTGGAATTTGATGACGGGGATGTGTTTGACGTAAGGCCAATCCTCCCCGGGGGGATCTTTTTGACATCTACTCTCCAGGCTTTTGGAACATTTTAAGAGCACAAGTTCTTCAAGTGAGGTGAGTTTGGGCATCCATTTCGGAATTGATTCAAGTCTTTTGCAATCTTCAATACAAAGGTATTCGAGGGCAGCCAAGGATTGCATCCAATCAGGCAGACTCACTAGCTGTGGAAGACTAATAAATGCCAAAGAGAGGAGAGAGTGATGAAGGTATTGCCATGGCCTGCCATCCTCTGATAGCCTCACATTAGGACAGTTGCATATCAGTAATGTCTTTAAGGCAGTGAGATGCTTTAATCCTCCAGAAATACTCCTTAGTTTGTCACAATTAAAAAATCCCAAATTTTCCAGAGAAAACGAGCAGTTGCGAAACACCTCCTCTACTTCTTCCAAGCTCTCCACCTCCTCTACTTCTTCCAAGCTCTCCACCTCCCCCTCAATTCTTAAGCTTTCAAGACTCTCAAAAGCCACCATGGACAGAGAATTTAACCATACCACATTGTCTATTTCCACCGTCCTTAATTTACTACTTTTACTCGAATTTTCAGAATCAAATACTTTCAGTCTTTTATTGAAGTTACCTAACTGTAGATCCTTGACCTTGAGACACAACGGAATACATGTCAACTCTGGGCAATTCACTATTCTCAGTTCAGAGAGACATAATTGCATGCTTTTGTTATCTTCAAGGAGAAAAAGATCATCTCTCCATCCTTTCAACTTCGGCAAATGAAACAACTCAAGGGATTCCAAGGAGGGGAAGAATAACACTCCTTGAGCACAATCTGATCCAGGCGTGGAACTGAAAACTGATGAGCTAAGTTTTATGTACTCCAACTTAGGCAAACTCTTAAGACCGAGGAATTTAAGATGTCGCAAGTTTCCCAGACATGGCAGGTACTCCAGCTCCTCGCAATTCCAAAGAAGAATGTGTACAAGATTTGAGAGAAGTGTTGCCCAACCAGGCATTCTCACACCACGGTACCCCCATACTTCTAACCGCCTGAGATTCGAATGTGGTTGCAGCTCTTCCATTAATCTTCTTGCTTCCTCAGTATCCACATCTCCATCAACCACCCGGTGATCGAAATGAAATGTAAGGTCCTTGAGATGTTCCTTACTCATTAGATAATATCCTTCAGCTCTGCTGTCATCTATCTTAATAACATTTTTAGGCCATTTAAACCAAATATCAAGACAGCCTTTGATGTTGTTCATCATCTTTAGATCTTCCAGTCCATCAAACCATTGTTTTGTAGTTGAATAACTCCCTTCACCACCGACTATAAAATCACTAAGCCAGTGAAGGCCAGTCAACTTACTCATCCCCTTGGGAAAACAAGTCATCTTGGCGCAACTAAACGTACATAAGGTCCTAAGCTTCACCAGCCTGCTCAAATCTTTTGGCAACTCTTTGAATCGAAAGCAATTACTTAACTTTATGGTTTGTAGATTACATAGCTTTGTAATTGACTTTGGAAGCACTTCAAGTCTGTGGTTCCATGAGAGATCTAAATACCTCAAATGCAACAGTTCACCTATCGATTCAGGCAATGTTTTGATACTTGAGTGAGACAAATCCAATGCCCTGAGGTGAATGCAATTAGCTAATAATGCCTCCTTGAAGAACTGCTCCATTCTCACCACTTGTTTCCAGTGGCCAACGCAAAGATATGTTCGAATATGAGACTTGTTTAATGTACATCTTGCTACTTTGCTTCTGGTAACAGACAGATGACGAAAATTATCATCCACACCGCCGCCAAAGGTATCTGTTGCACAAATCTCCAGTTTGGTTATTGTTTGAGCAACATCGTGAATAAGATCATGTATCTTAAAACACACAATATCACCATATACATCTCTTTCTACATCTTGAAAGAAACATCTTCGCAACAAAATTGAAATATATTCCTCAGCAGCATCTTCAATGCTTTGACCTTCATCCAAAGGGACGATATAGCCTTGTGCCATCCAAAGGCTTATTAGCTTCTTCTTTCCTATCTTATAATCCTTAGGAAACAATGCACAATAGCTGAAACAACTCTTCAATGGAGACTCGAGATTATGATAACTCAGCTTCAATATAGGCATGATGTCATTCTGGCTCTCTCTGAGGTTGGCTAATGGTATTTGCGCAAGCGATAGCCACTTACTCTTGTCTTGACCATATAAGAGACTTCCTACCACTCTGATAGCAAGGGGGACTCGAGCACATCCTTTAACAATTTCTAGCCCAATCTTGACCAAGTCGTCAGGAGGCATAGAAGATTGCAATCCAAAAGCCATCCTTTCAAATAAGCACCAAGAATTCTCCTCTGACAAGCCTTGGAGCTCGTATGTTAGACCATCTCCTATAAATTTTGCTGTCACTTGTGAACGTGTTGTTACCACAATCCAGCTTCCTCTTTGACCTCCGATTAAGAATCCTGCCAGGGCACGCCACTGATCACACTTCTCAGACCATACATCATCTAAAACAAGCAAGTATTTATTGCCTGCTAGTTTATTGCGTAGATGTTTTTGAACCTGATCCATGGAGGAGTACTCGTCAGGCTTACCAGGAGTTGAAGCCAAAATCTTACAAAGAATTTCTTTTATATCCAGTTGCTTCTGATCTTGATCAGAGACACAAGTCCACAACCTCAACGGAAATGCACTTGTAACCCTTGGATCGTTATACACAAGTTGAGCAAGGGCTGTTTTGCCCAACCCCCCAATTCCCACAATCGTGAGAAAAGATACGTCGCGTTGCACATTAGAATCGAGCATCATACCAATAATCTTCTCCAAGTCATCCTTTCTTCCAATGATATCACCTGCATCCACATAAGAACAGGTCTCGGGCCTTCTCCTCCGGATAGGCTCGGGATCAAGCTTAAAGCTAAACCGAGTACTGTAAGCGATAGCATCCAGTTTCTTCCTGATTTTCTTAACCCCTTGAGACATCTTATAAGCAACACCTAGTGGGTTATCAGAAAAGAAACGACACACCTTTTTAGAGAGACTACCACCAGCCTCCAAGAGTTTCTTCTGTTCAGCAAGAGTGACAAACTCGTCCAGCAGATCATCTGCTTCAAAGACCGCACCCTTGAGCTCCTTGAGCCAATGCTGTGCTTCATGGGAGAGATCCTGCTTGGCCTCTGCATCAAGAAGCACAGCATTGACAGCAGAGACGGTGCGTCGGAGCTCATCTAGCTGGGATTTGTAGCCAAAGACTGTAAGGATCTCTTGAAGCTCTGAACACTGCAACGCAGTAAGCAGAGTTTGAGCAACTGATAGCACTGTGCCAACAATATCCATTTTTTTTTTCTTGAAAAAAGATGTGAATGAATATGGTAATGATAGATTTGCAAGCTCTGATATACACCAAGCAAGAAGTAATGCAATTGAATCATATGGTTAAAATCCTGTAGCAAAAGGAGATTAGGTAGTGCTAAATTGTCATCATTTCAATATTCAAAGCTAATTGGAATAATATAAGATCAATTTGTGACACCGGACCAATTATCTTTCTTGTATTAGGTAGTGCTACATTGTCAAATTTGTCATCATCAGTCATTAGCACAGTTAAATACTTAGCATTATGTAAAGCATAAAATTTCAGTGGTCCACAAATTGTTTTTTTCTTTCCTGATTTCACTGGTCTAGTGGGGTTATCAACTAAATACTACTGTAGAGGGAAACGGGACAAGGAGTAACCATATACTCCCTCAGTCCCTTAAAGATTATCCCGTTTAATAATGGCCCAAATAGAACATGCACATAGCCGTAACTGATTTAATACGTTAAATATCTCCAAATAGAAGACCTCAAATCGTAGGGATAAAATAATGTTGGTGTTTCCGGTAAAAAATATACTACACCAAGAGCAATAAATACCCAAAAAAACTGAAAAGCAGTGCAAGCTTGGATCTCCACCCTATAGCTAGCATTTGAAGTTGAACTAGGGAAGAGGTGAATCAGATTGTAGCCAACATTGGTGTATCAGATTGGTATTCTTATCAATGTGTCAACTATTTGAAATTACTTTTACAATCTGCTACAGATGTAATAACATAATTTTCTTGTACTCGTTAGAAATATATATTCTGATAAAGTACATACAAAATTTCAATAAGACTTTTCCAGCTTCTAAACTATAGGAATGTCTTGTTGGAAGTAGCCTTTCTCTTCCAGAGTTCCATGGACTCATGAAGAAAATTTAAGTTACTGAGAGACAGATGAAGAAATCCAAATCATTGTCTTTAGAAGCCCAGTTCAAATATCAGATAAAACCTTTCCCATTAACCCTTTTAATATAGGTCCTTTTAAATTGGGTGGACTCAGGTTGGGCCAGGTCTCGATTTACAAGCATTAGCAAAAATTATGGTAGTACATCTGTACATTTAGTGACAGCCGCAACTCTCTTGTCCAAACTTACTTAAATCAAACTGGCCAAACAAAAAAAAGTAAGCAAAAAAGAACACAACGAAACTAAGGAAAAACTTTCAACAAACAAAACAAGCATTATTGACAGTGAATGAACTAAGTTTATGATGAAATAATATTCAAAGATGTCCTAATTTAATTAGTTATTCACCAAGAAAAAGGCTAATAAACAAAACTTTAAACTGAGTGAGGCTGGCCTGTTCTTGAGCACCAAAGTAACTCACCATACCACTGTCCACTGGGACATTTAGGTATAAAGGAACCAGCTGATTAATATCCCACAATACTGGCAATACACACTTTACAAACATGATTAGACATTTCGGCCAAATATGAAGAAAGTAATAAAACAATGCAATTCAATAATAAGCTAAAAAGTGCCACCTGATTGTGTAATAACCAAAGGCTTACTCTCCAGCATTGACTTTCTGTCATCCTTCAGGTTTCTGATATTGGCCATTGGGGGGGTTGTACTCATTCAAATCAGCTCCTTTCTTATCTGCATTGATAGGAAATGATTACCATTTTCTAGCATGTTCATTTAGGCTCTGTTTGGTAGGGCGTAAAACATTTTCACTGAAAAGTGTTTTCCCATTTTACATTGTTTGGTTTGGTGTAAAACATTAAAATGTAAAACTTGAGGTGGAAAATCATTTTACACCCTATTGAAAACATTTTCCCCCCAATTTAGAAGGAAAACATTTTCCATCACAAGTGGAGGGAAAACATTTTCCCTCACAATTGAATTTTCAGTTCAACCAAACAATGGAAAATGCTTAAAATGGAAAATCATTTTCCATTCAACCAAACAACGGAAAACTTTTTTGAAAATGAGTTTTCCATTGTAAAATGATTTTCATGGAAAACCATTTTACATTGAAAATGTTTAACACCCTACCAAACGGACCCTTAATGCAACCTAAATTCAACCCAACACATACTCTAGTTAAACTCAGAAACAACCAAACTGCCAAACCAGGTTTGTGAGTCAAGTTTTAACAAAGAAATAGAAGCCCTAAAAGAGTTCTTGTTTTGCACATTCAGAATCTGCTTATCAAGCTCTTGCGAACACAACAAAAGCTGTCAAGTAATGATCATGGCGCAAAACCAGGTTTCATTACTGAAGAATACTGATCATAATCTTTGTCCAAGACACATACAGTCTGCTACACCTCATGCAGCCAAATATTGATGTAGGAAATGTTGGGAATAATACTAAAAATACAAGGGACACAAAGAAGAAATCGGAATTAAACAATAATAACCTTCGAGGTGTGAACGAAATCACTTTCCCAAAAGTAATATTTCGACCCTTAAACTACAACCCGGATATCACGAAATCACTTAGGAGATACAACGAAGAACAATCACAATTATGTGTAGTATAATTATGATTCAATGTAAACTAGTATACTTATTTTGTGATGATGAAGTATGACAAACACATGCATATTGACTTTTAAATGAAGAGATAAAAAATCTGATGTCTCCTCCACAACTCTTACGTTGAATATATATATGTAGCATGCAAAAAAGTGAATAGCCATTATTCCAAAAGGTGCCATATACAACCTGTTGTTTGCCGTTATTCTAAACGGTGCCATATATAATAACCAACCTGGCTTTTCATCATATATAACAATAGAATATGTACAGAAGCATGCATATCATGAATAACCGTTTAACCAAACGGTGCAAAATCAGCCTTTTCATCAAGCAGGGCAAATACAGCAGTTTATTTCATCAAGCAATGCAAATACAACAGTTTATTTCATCAACCAATGCAATACTCTAAATAACTCAACAGGAAATCAGTAATTACAACAATTACAAAACAATGCAGCTATAACATTTGTTACCTAAGTAACATACCTGCTTCATTGCTTAAAGAACTAAGAATCCTCTGGTTGTAGTTGCACCTCATGTCCTGTGACATAACAGAAAGAAAATACAAAGAAACAGGAAACACAGATGTTCTTGTCCGGAGATAATCAGCCCTCTTGTCGCATGAAACGTTCCCATCACCCCTGCCCCCTTAAAATTTGTTTGTTGGAGGTTCTGTTATGCTTCTGGCTCAGAAGGCCAACTCAATTAAACACATGAATATTTGATGAATTCTAAACAAAAAATTTGCTAGAACAAATCCAATCCAATTCTAACCAGTTATTCTTTGGTTTGCTATAATAGCAGATGCTAGTTAAACCACTTTGTGATTGAATCTACAATAATTAAGATAGAAGATGAAGGTTCAATGGGCACTCAAGAGGGGGGGGGGGGGGTGAATTGAGTGTTAAGTAATCGTTGGCTAATTTTGCTTCTTTTCGGATTATGTGTGAGGAACCAGTTGTGCTGGTTCCCGTACGCAGCGGAATATAAATAAGCAATAAAGAAGACAACAAATTTAACGAAATAAAATAAAGCAATAAAGAACACAACAAATTTAACGAGGTTCAGCCAACTCAGGCCTACGTCCTCCTATCCTAAGTTCTTTATTAATCTACTCCGAAAAACAAAGACAAAGAACACTCTGCTGTTCCCTACTCCGGGAACCAGCAAACCCCACACTCTACTCCGAGTGTGCTCTCGACTTACACTCGTAAGCCCAATGTGTTTGAACTCACAAACACTCACCCAGCCTTTAACCCCTTTGTTAAAGACTCAATACAAGAATCAAGAACTCCCCTTTGATCTCACTTCTACGAAGCTAATTAAGAGAAAATATTTAAGTACTAGAATGCTCTTGTATATGACTTGATGAATGGGATTAGTGCTTAAGTATATGCTCTCAAATAATTGCTCTTTTAATTTCTGGAGAGGCACACGAAATATGTGAAATAAGATGAGTTTATATAAGCTTAGATTCCTAAAACCTAGTTTCCTTAAATCACACAATCTTAGAGAATAAGATATAATGTAATTTTAGGAAAGTTTTTATCTTATTTGATTTAATCACAAAGATAGAATCAATTAAGATAAATACTCCTAGATTTTAGGTAACCAAGAATATTTCATCTTATTTCCAGCTGCACAAAATATTTTCAAGATAATCTTTTCGAAAAAAAATCTTTTTGTAAAATCTTTTTCCAAAACGGCAGCTCGAATACAGTGAACCTGGTTCCCCGACCTGGTTCCCTGAATTGAAACATGTTATGAAACCTGTTCCAACTTTGTACCAGATTTCATATCATACTTCAATATATTTTTAAGCACTTATATAACCCAAACATGCAAGCATACTACGGAGCATATTACATGAAAACCTAGATAACATATTAAAGCATAAATCGTCTTTTCTTCATGTAATCTTCAAGACTTGAATCTTCCTTGAATACTTCTATTATGAGCAAACAATCTTTCTTCGAAATATCTTCGAAAGGCTTCTATGCTCCAAGTCTTGGAATCAACTCAACTACTGCACATGTAACATGGTTAATGCACAATAAAGAGTATGTGACTGCTTTACCACGTAGCAACCATGGAAACATTACATACTGGTTCCCTACCAGTACATAACACTTTTATCATATAACTGTTCCCTGTATAAAGACAAGTTAGTTCAATAAGAAAACTCATGTAAGTAATAACTTGTCTGGGGAAACAGTGTTCTATGTTAGCTGGTTCCCACCAACTGTTTTCAACACTTATTAAAACCTGTTTCCCATAGCTGTTTGTCATCATTCAAAACCATCATTCAAAACCTAAGGGACTCAACAAATTCCCCCTTTTTGATGATGACAAACTTTTGAAGTTCCTGAACCTGTGAACATGCTCAAAAGGAAAACCGTCAAAAACTTCAAGGACTCAAGACAAGGACTCAAGACTCTTTGGAACAAGTCAGTTAGGCCAACTGGTTCCCTAAACAGAAAATAGAA